AATTATAGTAAATGGTTCTATAACGATAAAAACATACATGTATTTTGAAAGAGACTGAATCAGCTAACTTTATTGGGATTGAAATTGACAAACATTTAACATGGGAAAATCATATTAAGAAAATTAATAAGCAGATCAGGAATAAGTCTCTTTCAAAATTAAGGCATCATATTCCAAAGCACATTCTTTTGTTATTATATTATATTATTCATTAATCCAACCTCATTAAGACTGGAATTTTTGGCAAGCACATATCCATCACATCTAAAAAGTATTCTAACTATCCAAACATTTATTGCAAAAATAATAACATTTTCTGAATTTACTGCCCATTCAGCCCATATTTTCAACCAGCTTAAAATCTTTGACATTTATAAGCTCACAACTTTCTCCTTTTCATGTTTTTGCACGATATTATTAATCATGGAAACACACCACACAACATGTCAGCCTACATCCTGCATTATATTCAACACTATCATAATACTAGACAACAAAACAGAAATGAAATCTCAATCCCAAATATGAACACAACAATTTGTACATTCGAAATATCTTATTTAGGGTCCAAAATTATGAAAGAATCTACCTGTTGCATTGAGAAAGAATGAAAAAAAAAATCAATTTTCAAAATTAGATTATGTATTTTACATAATATCAGTATTATTAAAATTTGATATGTTTTTTTTTTTTTATTTGTTTTACTATTTTAGTGTCTACTGTCACTATAATATTTAATTTTATAAAAACCTGTACTCATGAGAATTTTCATTACAACAGTGTTTGTAATAATTATGGGTAAAGAAATAAATTATCAGTTAACAATAATACAACATGTTTTTTGTAGCCTATTTCACCTCTACAAAATGCAATTGTTTCTCTGGAGATTTGCATGCAAAAACAAAATGTTAGATGAAATGACTTTTTTGGTGTTTTGGATTTATAATTTATTTTCACTGATTTCTGTGTTAAAGTAAAACATAGGAAAAAAGGTATATTCGCTGGATTTTATTTTCAGTAAATCATTCATGGTGAACAGTTACCACAACTTTGGGGTAAAATTTCTTGGTAATGAAAAAAAGATATCAAAAATTCAAATAGTAACTTTGTGCCCACACTCAAGCTGAGTAGAATGAGCTATATCAGAGGTCTTTTATCCTAAATTTGTAAGAGGAGATACATTTTTAGGAACTAAAATTTACACTAATTTTTATATAGAATGGATATAAATCAAATCAGACATTCACAATATATTTTATGAAAGCATGCAATTCATACTGAAAAAAACGTTCATGTGACTGCTTCAAGTAAATAAATCTTCCATTGAAAATGAAGAGTGAATAAATTAAAAAGAATATCAACATTTTTTTTTTGAAAAATGTAGAATAAAAACAAGGGAAACATAACAGTCAAAGCGATTTTGCACAATTTTGTTTCAGTTATCACAACAATGCAAGTTAGTAATTTTAACCACAGTTGTGTTCTATTTATGATCGAGCACTGAAATTTTCATTGATAATAAGATATCTATGAATTTCATAAAGTGTAACAAGTTCATTTTGATTAACATGCTCCAAAAAAAACACATCCTTAAACTGTCATTCAAAATGTTTCTGACAAAAATTGTAGAGTATTATTAATTTGATTTTATCTCCACAAAGTTCAACCATGATCAAAAATTAAAAATATTTCCAAATGTGAAAAAATATTAATGAAAAAATTGCGGATATTTCAATCATAAAAAAAAAAAAATATAAACTATTATCTACAGCTTACAATAAAAATGACAATTTTAGTAAAATAACAAATTTACGCTAGTTTCAGTCAGAGCTGTGATAAAAAAAAAGTTTAACAAACCGAAAACCGATTGAATATTTACCACAATATAATAAAATTATGACATTCAAAGATTGTTTATATTGCCATGTAGATATATATATACTTTTTATTTCATTTTCGGGAGGGAAATTTTCGTTCACAAAAACCCCATCATTCTACCCAGCAGCCGACAAGTGGGAATAGCCAAAACAGGTTTCAAAAATACAAAATATATTTCTTTTTGGAGATATCGAGTAAATATAGTTCAACTTACTTTTTTTAACTGTATCCATCTCATGAGACAACATTTTAAATGGTATTTCCCTCTCTCCATCCACCAGCACAAACAGTAACCAGTTTTCCTCTGCCATTTTTGGTTCATGAACTATGACCTACAGTTCCACAACCCCGCTTTTGGAGCAGGGGCGATAAAAAGTACCTCGAGGCGCCCCGACGGTGACGTCAAGAAATAATCGAACGTTAGTCGAGGTGCCTCGAGGCCGATAATCGAAAACGCTCCTGTTTGTTAATTCCATGAGGTTCTTTAGTTCCAAGGCCGATTCTGGGTCTCCTCTTTCCTCAGTACCAATAATCTCCTCAAACTAGTCTCTCGGCGCTAGGCAGTAGTTGGCATGTGTAGAAATGTGAACTAGTCTCTTCGCTGGTCTGTAAAATGTGAAAATGTTGGTACATTATATTGTAAATCTTGATATTCAAAGAATGGTATGTAAGTGCTAAAATGACGAGATCGTCATTGCCACCGGAGACCATATAACCAATACAATCTGATCTCGAAATTGACATATTCTTGGCCAATGCTTTTCCAGCGACATTATGAGGATTGCCCCGTCTATTGAAGAAATTACCCACCTGCTTACGAAAAGCTGTATGATCGCTGCAAATATGACATACACGAAGTAATTGTGAACATGGTATAGAATTCTTCCTTTAGTTGGATGTGATGATTCATGCTGTAAATAACAATGTGAATCAGTAGGTTTCGTGTAAATAGAAGTTGAAATCCGATCACCACCAACCCTTGTGGAAATATCATGGAACGGTAGTGTTATTACTGATATTTCATGTGTGTATTATATTGCATGATTACACACTCGACAAATTGTAATAATTCAAGACGACTGCTTGACGTGGCATCATAGCCATCATCGATGTAATTCACATAAAATTTTGGTTTAGTTTCTTGAAAAGACGAAGAAATTAAATCCTCTTGTTATTATTACATGAATAAACATGCATAGCTCTGACCAAAACAACTACTCATCGTAATCCCCGTTTTTGTAAAAAAAAAAATGCTTACCATTAAAAGAAAAACAAATGCCATTTAGACGTACCAAAACAAACGTGGGAGGATCCTTAACTGCCTGTTTATTAATGAAATGTTGTATAGCTAATAGCCCATCTAGTCTTCTAAGCGCATCAATAGTATCACGAGCATAAGTTGGTTGTTACATTAGGTCTCAACAGAAAATTCTAATATCGAGCTATGCGCTCAATCGAATATTACAATGATCTACCAAGAATGTTCACCTTGTGAATCTTGGATAATAGATAGAAAACTGGTGTACGTGGTGGTCTACATCAAGTGTATGGT